TCTCTCGCGACAGGACATGTGGGTAGAAGCGTTCGAGACCTCGGTGGAAGCCATCCTGTGTCAGCACACCGTCCAAGTTGGTGTCCATGGCTCGAAAGCAATCGTCCAACACTTCCCTTGTCGCTCCCATTATACCATACTGCGACACGAGCAATGCGGCAGTGATCTTTCTCCAGATCAGAGTACTACTACCACAACCATTCTCCCTTGCTCTTTTGGCTACGACGGAGGAACGCACAAGGCTCCCAAAGACAGATTGCAAGGCTTTCCGGTACATGGGATCCTGTTGAAATGCCAAGTCCTGAGCCATGCTAGCGTTGGCACGGATCCCTTGTAACCAGGGGTGCTGTAGAGCCTGAGCAGCTGTAGGTCTGTCCTTTTCGTCAAAGGCCATGAGACTCATGATGAAATCTTTGGCCTCGTCCGAGACTGTATCCCAGACAGGCGAGGCAGACATGGCCTGTTCCATGGTCTGCTCGCTGTGCATCAAGACACTGGTCATGACCTCATGCTCCGTGCTACCATTAAAAGGTGGGTATCCTGACATCATGATGAAGGTCATGACTCCAATACTCCAAATATCTTGTTTGTATGGATCATAGGAAGCCTGGAAAACCTCAGGACACATGTACGATGTGCTACCAACAACCTGTCGAAAACGGATTAGATTGCCGTTGGCATCAATCGCAACCGGTTTGGCCAATCCCCAGTCAATAATCTTGGCATCCTTGAACTTGTAGGAGTCAGTTTCAAACATCACATTTTCCAATTTTAAGTCAAGGTGAACCATATTCAGGTGGGTGTGACAGTAGTTGACAGTGGACAAGATAGAGTTAACAAGAAGAGCAGCATTGGCTTCCATCAAGCAACCCAGATTAGACGTCAAGGCACTGAGCATGTTGCCCCCTTCGAAGAGGTCCATGACAATGTAGACATTGCGTGAATCTTCAAAGCACTCATAGACAGACACACAGTTGGGATGATCCATCTTCTTGGCGGCATGGAATTCCCGGATTTCTCTGCCTTGCTGTTGCTGCTGCTTCTGCTGTTGCTTCTTCTTGCCACAAGGCTTGTCCTGTGACGCCGACAAATCCACTTTGGGGTTGCTGGCAATCCTGCCAGAGATATCGGCATTGTCACCATTAACACTCGAAGAGGAACCAGATCGCTTCTTTGTCATGACTTTCATGGCCCGCTCCACTCCAGTTTGCTTGTGCCTACAGCCGTAAACAGAACCATATCCGCCGCTCCCGAGACGCCTTCCAACAGAGTAGGTGTCAAAGACACCAGCGCCGGTGCTATCTTTGCTGTTGTGGTGACGAACAAAGTCTTTAGGTTGGATGGAGATGGAGGTGGGCTTTTGCTTAGACATTTCGAGGGATAAACTCTTGGAAGACACGTTGGTCGGCATCTCCGTAGTTGGCGTATTTTCGAAGGAGAGCGATATGGAGTGGCTTGTACAATAAAAAGAGAGCGAAGGTATGAAGCAACAGAGAAGTTGTTTGTGGTTTGTGGATTGCACAAACAGAATAGAATCCAAAAAGTGAGAAAGAAGCGGTTCTTCAACAATTGTTGCCGTGTTGTTTGCAGTGTAAATAAGTTGTGCGCAAGCGTATCTTTTGTTCCGTTTTTTGTGAGCAAAACAACAGGCAAAATGCAAGCTAGCAATGAACTTGCTTCTATACAGAGATCATAGCTACCTTAGCTCCATTAAAAACCAAGCCTGCGGAAAAGCAGAGGATGATAGGGAATTGGTCCAGCAAAGAGTGCGTGCCCAGGTCGCTGCACGTTTCTCACATCATCTGCGGGCGGGTCTTTGCATTGAAACCAAGAGCAAAACGATTGCTGCATTCTCAGCAGAGTGTTACGCAGAAACCGAGAATGTCACTTCCATCTCTGTACGGTAATTCCGAGGCAAATTGCGCTCAAAAAGAAATCGAACCAGGCCAATCCAGTGCGTGCAATGCCAGACAAACCCCAGAGTCTAGCTAGAACTGCCTACTACAGCGTGTGGTACCACGTACTTTCGGTACAGGTAGAACTGGGTTGGTTGTGGCCACCAAACGACGGCCTCCAAGGGCCCCGTTCCACCTTGAGTCCAGATTTCTAAGCGTCGCGGTACATGTGCGCCGTGAGGCTTAGCCTAACCCTAATGGCAAAACCTTAAAACCTCGGGAGTCCTCCTTAAATCTTCCAGTTTCCCCATGGGAATTGTTTCGACCACGTTTTGACTTGATCTCGAAGTCTCCATCTGCCACAAATTTGCCCTTTGCCGCACTTTACTTGTGCATGCATTTACCTGAAACCTATCTGCATCAACCATTCATCAGAATCAATCTTAGCCATGAGTTTTCCAAATATCAACGGGCACTCAATGGAACCGAGCGATACCCGGTTTGGTTCCCCTCATCTTTCCTTGGCCATGCCAGTGGAAACCGCTCAAGAAACTCCTTTGGCCGACGCTGAGTTGATCTCTCTGAGTGGAAACTTTTTGGAAGCTTTTGACAACGAAAACAGCGAATTGGAGAGTTTGGTGAGAGACTTGGGAAGTCGCAACGTAGAACTTCAGGAGAGAAAGGTATTTCAGCGTCGATTCTTGGTGCACAAGTTGGCGCTCCCAATGTGCGTCCTGTTCCTGTTGATTGTTGCGGCAGTGACGGTTCACTCCTTTGCCGCCAACAATCATGCTTCCAAAGGCAACCCAGCGGTTATAGTACTGATGAGAAAGGGAGATTGAGCACCAGCGGGATTGACTACAGACGACGACGACGAAGACCAACGGTGGCAAAGTTATTAAAGCCCACCTTTGTTATGATGACAGACATCTATATTGCTTGTGAGATAACATACATATTCCCTTCTACTAAGCGAAAACAACATTACACGTCTTCCATGAATCTCCGTTATTGCTTAGCCGCTATCTAGAGCGAGATGCCTGTCTATCAACAGTTAGATCATTCACTCATCTGTTTACCCTTCAGATTTCTCGACTCTCCAGTAGGGAGCCAGGGGCGACGAACCCAGGTATTGCTTCGTGTGGCGAATATCGGGGAAGGATGACAAAATGCCAGGTTTGCCGACATTGGCTTCGAACAGTTCCTTTGCCTTTTGATTGTACACACGTGCGGACATTGCTCGGCGAGATGGGCTGTCGGCCGCAATGTAATGATCAATAAAGTCCAACAAGCGCTGCTTCAAACCTTCCTGCGTTAGACGGTCGCTGCCGTTCAGCGTCGTGGCGGAGAGTTTCTTGGTTTCATCTTGGAGCACCAATTCATCTGCGACTCGATCCATTCGGTCAAAAAAGGGCTCCTTCATCCGATCGCTGTATGTTTCGGTGTTGCTGATCTCTCCCCAGTACGTATTCACTTCTTGCGAAAGCTTTGTATCCCGCTCCTTCAACTGCGAAACCACGGCCGCTGCTTCCAAGGCAATCTCAGAAGCCTCTTTTTGTTCCATTTCGGCTCGAAACTGTTTCAACCAGGCTTCCACTCGTTCTTCCAGAATCTCAGGAGTAGCAACACTGCTTTGGACCACAACAGAGAAACCCCAGCCACCTCCACTGGTCTTGCGCGGGAAGGTGCTCACGATGTAGCCCAATTGCTCCTTGGTTCTGAGCTGATTGTACGCGCTGTTGTAGGCAATGTGATTCATTAGCTCAATGAGAGCGATCCCGCTGTATTCCAACTCGATTTCACTCCCCGTTTGGATGATGTATTCAATCGCATGGTTCTCTTCGGATGGTGAATATGCCACCTCTTGATAAACCAAAGGTACCGAACGGTTGCCACTGACCAGAACGTCCTCCCTGAAGATGTGCTTGGCTTCTTCTCTGGTGGGCAATTGCATCGAGCGAAAGGTGGGGATTTCTGCTTCCATAAGCGGTCGGCTCTGTTTCTGAGTAAAGAAATGGTCTTCCACAACCTGGCACGCCTCTCGGGCCTCACTTTCGTCAATATTTCCCATGCAGAAGGCTTCTACCTTATGTCTGCCAGTCAAACTCTCTTCTGCAAGAAGACCACACTCCTCCATTGTCAGAGGATCTTTCTCCGCATACTCTCCCTCCATTTCCCTTACATAATCATCCAAGTACCATACATTTTCTTCCAGCAGCAACCGTGAATTGTAGCTGGCGACCTCGTATGGAGCGTCCAACCGATAGTTCTTGGTTTCTCGCAAGAGAGATTCCTTGGCCTTTTCGAACTTGTCGTAGAGAGCTGGGTGTGCTTCGGGGCCTTCTTTCAACTCGTCGATCAGGCTAAGCATCCTAGAAGTGAGTTTATTGAGAAGGTTCAGCAGCTTTTCATTGTATCCTTGGACTGAAAAGCGAATGCCGGTGGGTGTGCAAGACACTCTGAAGAGAACAGAAGTAAGGCCAGCAGCCGGTTAGAAATGTTTTCAAATATCAACGTTGTTATCCGAAGAATGAAAAAGCACTTGCCTGTAGCCGCATCCCGCGAGTGATGCATCATAAACCGTGGATTTGAGGTCGTCATTCAGAATTCGTTGATAAATGCGAATGAGAGTCATGGTTCGCGGTGAGCGATACGGAGCCGGTGTGACCAAAGAAAATTTAATGAAGGCTTTGGGAACTCGCCAATACTTGTCCATCTTGTGCCAAAGCCTCAACCCAGGACGGTCCATGATCATTTTAGGAGGTTTGTTTCGCTCCGATTCGGATGGTTTGCTCGTATCTCCATTGGCGGTGGCAACACCCTTGTCGCAACGTAGTGAGAAATCTGTGGGTATGTACTGATTGAGTCCAGGCAGCTCCAACCGATCATCGATTGTAGCGGGATTCTCCCAAGAGTTCATTTGTTCCGGCGACAACGCCCGGACTCGATATTGCGCCCCATACCAAGGCTCCGTTTGCCATCCGTCAGGGAAGATGTTGTCTTCTTCTGTTGCCTTTGCCAGATCCGAATTGAGTTCGATGACCATGCAGTTCGAAGGCTTGAGTCTGTCCAGAAAAGCTTCTGTTACTTTGGGGTCGTAACTTTCCTCGTCGTTGTTCCCAATCAAGATCCGCTCGGGTGGAGTACCCGTATCAAACATCAATTCGGCCACAGTGGAGCAAAAGTCGGTCGGGTCACCATTCTCTCTGAATTTGAATCCATTCACAAACATTTGTTTCAGCTCTCCGTGGTACTCTTCCATCAGGGGTAACTTTTCAGGATCCAATGCCACTTGTTTGATCATGGCAAGCCATTGGAAGGACAGATCCAAGACATGATCCTTGTTGGCCATGCCTTTGGGAGTCAGTGAAAGGGAGAGCCCGAACAAGGCGAAATCTCTCGTGGAGATTACCATGCCCGAAGAGAGCGCTTGAATGTATCCCATATCATTCAACAGCGAATGCAAGGTACCTGGTGATTCATGTCCCAATAGATGTGAAATCACCCTGTGTGGTTTGGACTCACGAAACACGGGGTCGTCGCCCGGTGGCGAGGCAAAGTACAGTCTGAGCATTCGAGTTTCCATCACGGGAATGACTTGTCGATATTTTTGCAGTTGCTCCGGCCCAAAGGCTTTTTGGCCGCGGTTGTACAGGCCATCTTCGTGGGGAAAGACCTGATCCTCCAATGGCTCTGCGGGTGTGCCCCGATGCTGTCCTTCGGAGAATGGCAATTCCCCAAAAGTGCGCTCCACACTGGCCTGTAGAGCATCCAAGGACGCATAGCCCACGACTGCCAATCGCAGATTGTAGGTTTGATAATAGGTTTTCCAAAAGTCTAGCAATGCCGGTCGTGGCGATGTGGTGTTGTGGTTGGTCAAGGTTTCCAAGTTTCCACATCCAAAGTTGGCAAAGGGATGTTCCTGGTTGCCAGCTAATTTGAGGTGTTGGTAGTTCCTCCAAGCATCGCTGGTTCGAGCATTGCGCCATTCCGAGTCGATGGCGTTGATTTCACGATCGACCATGCTGGTTTCAAATTTGGGTGCAATAAAGAATTGTGCAAGTCGATCGAGAGACCCTTCTAAAGCTTCTGAAGTTTCATCGTCGTCGTCTGCAGCAGAACAGGATTCTTCCCCATTGGTGGTTGTCGTAGTGGTAGTCTTTTTCTTTTTCTTGGCAGTTGTGGCAAGTGAAAAATAATAGTTGGTATCCTCCATGTCTGTGTAAGCATTGGAGAAACCTCCATACTTGCTCAGAAAGGTTTCGTAAGCATTTTCTTCGGGGTACTTTTCCGTTCCCAGAAAGAGCATGTGCTCGTTGAAGTGAGCCAACTGCAACGAGAAGAACACAGAAAATACAAGATGGAGGGAATGTACTATGTAAGTTGATGATGATGATTAAAAAAAAGGACAATGTCATGATGAATACTGCAACAAACAAATCAAAACACAACATACCCCTGGAATGGTATCATCAAAATGTCCTGCTTGGACATGCACAGCTGCAGCCTCCACATGGGACTGTTCTTCTTCCTCTTCGTCCTCGTCCTTGCTGGTAGTTTCGGTAGTACTGACTAATAAGACCTGCAGATTGTTGGCCAATTGAATCCATCGATATTTTCTCAAATCAGGATCTGGTTTGACAAATTCTGGATCATCTGCCAATATCTTGGTAACACCCTCTCGGTTGGGCGGAGCTAGGAAACTGTTCTTTTTGTTGCTGCTGCTGCCAACGGTCTCTTGGGCTGCCGTAGCGGTCGATTGGAAGAGGCACGAACTGCTGGTCCACAATGGCAGTGCCGCACGACGGAGTCCCTGTGTCCAGGATCCACCACTGTTGCCACAGCGGCATTGCAGGGCTGACTTGGTATGCAAACTCAAGCCAGCTGCTCTGGACAACAAGGATCCCACCGAGACTGCCATCCATGCTTGTCCTCCCTGCAAGGATACCAGCAACAGTGCCATCAGGAACCTGGTAGCCAAACGCAAGCCGTAACTGCTCCTCATGGCTATGTCTTGTTCGATGTCAGACAGGAAGGACGATCCAGTTCTCCTGTGCCCTTTGAAAGATAATTATCTCTTCCTTTTTATGAAACTCGGGCTTTTGCTAGCATGGAAATGGGATATTGCTGGCTTTCTGTGATGGGATCGAATCATTCACACCATTCATCAATCACAGAGCCGACAACAGCAAAGATCCTCATTGTCGACATGCATCTTTGTTGGCAGCTGCGATCTTCCACCTGGAAATTCCGAAGCACGCCTTCGAATGACGTGTTCTGCGTCCTTCAGTCATGCTTCTGGCTTCACACATTTTAGCCACCAGAGCTGAATAACGTACGAATGGCGGTCCACCTACATGTACAGAATAAGTCAGCGGGAGCTGCGATACCTCGGCAGAAAGACAGATAGAAGAAGGATGACATGTTTGAGATTGCACTCTTCTTTCAAGCTAGCCCTGGCGACAACACCCGACTACGTCGTGTGTTGCCGCCCGGTATCATTCATTCCCTCATTGCAACCTTCTTTTATTAAGCTAGCCCTGGCGACAACACCCGACTACGTCGTGTGTTGCCGCCGGAAACTCTATAATTTACCAGCTGCCATTCCCTTATTGTAACTCTAACCTTTACAGCTCCTGCTGGCTTATTGTGCTTTTGTGCTGAGTGCACTAACCTTAAATATTAATGATTTATTCCTACTCCTAACTTGTATTGAGCCATCAATGTTCAGTTTTGTTGGCTTATGACTATCTCTATCCTTATTACTGTTGGCTTCAAACCGGAAATAGGAAATAGGAAATAGAAATGATTCAGCGGAGCTGCGATACCTCGGCAGAAAGACAGATTAGAAGAAGGAGGATCATGTTCGAGATTGCACCCTTCTTTCAAGCCAGCCCTGGCGAAAACACCCGACTACGTCGTGTGTTGGCGCCCGGTATCATTCATTCCCTATTGACCTTCTTTTATTAAGCTAGCCTGGCGACAACACCGACTACGTCGTGTATGCCGCCCACTCTCTATAATTTACCAGCTGCCATTCCTTATTGTAACTCTAACTTACAGCTCCTCTGGCTTATTGTGCTGTTGTGCTGATTGCACTAACCTTAATATTAATGTTTTATTCCTACCCCTAACTTGTATTGAACATCAATGTTCAGTTTTGTTGGCTATGACTATCTCTATCCTTATACTTTGTCTTCACCGGAATAGGAAATGAAATGGAAATAGAATTTAGTCAGCGGAGCTGCGATACCTCGGCAGAAAACAGATAGAAAAGGAGGATCATGTTTCGAGATTGCACCATCTTTGAAGCCAGCCCTGGCGACAACACCACTACGTCGTGTGTTGCCGCCGTTATCATTCATTCCTCATTGCACCTTTTATTAAGCAGCCCTGGCGACACACCCGACTACGTCGTGTTTTTCCGCCCGCTACTCTATAATTTACAGCTGCCATTCCCTTATTGTACTCTAACCTTTACATCCTGCTGGCTTATTTTGGCTGTTGTGCTGATTGCACTAACTTAAATATTAATTTCCTACCCTAACTTACCATCAATGTTCAGTTTGTTGGCTTATGACTATCTTATCCTTAATTTGGCTTCACGGAAAAGGAAAAAGGAAATAGAATAGAAATAGGAAATACATTAAAGGGGTGAGAACTAGGCAGTTAACTGCCGAGGTAAAGGGTGAGAACTCAGGCAGTTACCTGCCGAGGTAATGATAGGAAATAGGAATAGGAAATAGCATTAAGGGGTTGAGCTCAGCAGTTTACCTGCCGAGGTAAAGATTAACAAACAATAGAGTACTAGTAGCATAAAAAAGCGTGTCAACCTGCCCAGGGTTCCGCTACTTGCTCTTCGTGCTGAAGCAATGAAATGGCCATGTAGTCACTGTTAGTTATTAGGGAGGCATTTATATAGAAGTGAGCAAGTCCTGCAAGTGCCGTGACACTGCAGATGCCTGCTTGAAAAATGATGGCCAGGTTATGGTAACCTCCATTCAGGCTGAACGGGTCTCATTCAGGCGGAACGAGCGCTCGTTTTCATATCGCCTCTTCAGAGCGGCCTCCAGCTCGGCAGAACTCCTTTCTGCTTCTTCTTCCGTAGGCACTCGGTAGTATGTATCCAGCCTGCCATCAAATTGGCATCCAACGTTGAATTTTGATGCGATCCTGTCGGGGAGAAAGCTCTTCACGAGGCTAACAAACATATTCGCGGCCCACCCGCAATGAAACATCTGGATCTCGTTCGGTTTTGAAGGATAGGCTCGTAAGTGCTCATCCCATAATCTTTGGTACGTGCTGGCACCGAGAGAACCACATTTCCGGTCTAAACCGTCGCATTCGACAACAGTTGCGTGTCCTTTTCTATCACGACGGAATGTAAGGGCAACACACCTGGGCTTTAAGTAATTCCCGGCTTGTTGTAAACGAAAGGGTAAAAACATTTTTTCATGTCGTCACCGGTAGTGCACATTTTGCAAAAGAGCTGAACCGAACTTACCTCATACAGTGGAGGTCCTGGTTCAAGGCCTGCAGCCAAGTACCAATGGAGACGTACAAAAGTCTTCCATTCTTCATCATCTCTCAAGATAGAGTCATCAAACTTGACCTGATCCACCAGGAGCACTTGGTTATGCTCTATTGGATTTTCAATTAGGGAAAGTATGTGTCCAGGTTGCTGTTTCAAGAATGCCTGGAAGCTTTCGATGCCCTGCTGAAAAGTGTCAAGTACTCCATACTCCTCTCGAAAGACTTGTAGGTGCTGTGCCCTGCCCACAGCCAGTTCAACATCGTTCCCGTGCATGATCGCAAACTGAGTGTACATCATGTCTTTACAGTTTCATTAGTCTTCATGAGGATGCTACTAGCTAGTGTGCAGAACCGACGTAAGCCATTTTGGATACTTACCGGAGAGCGGCCCAAGGTCGTCGCACGCCTCGATTGCAGTCTTGATTGCCCGAGCTTGTCGTTTCTCGTTGTCGGAAATGAGCATACGCACGTTGATTTGAGAAAGAAGCTCAGCCAACAGCTCTGGCATCGAGCGTCCGTGGCCATGGCCACCCTGCCCTTGCACTTCGTTGTTCATGTTTTCTTGATGGTCGCTGAGTTTTCCAATGGGCCAAAATTTATGGGTAAGTGGGCTCTGAGAGGACCACGGTCTGGATTGGGCTACGATGTCATGTCCGTACGTCGGTCAGAAAAAAGAACGGAGGAGTACGGAACTAACGTAACTAGCTAGACTAAATCCGAAAGTGAGCGCTGAGTGGAGTAGGTAGCTGACCTACTAGAGCAGCTACTGTAGCACATATCGAAGAAATAAGTGATAAGTGAGTGTTGCTCGGTGGATGTTCCACCGACCTGGGGACTGGCAGCTGCGGCAATTGAGGAACTATGGGGAATTGTTTGAGGTGCTCCTAGGCCTGCACGATGAGGAAGGCTCTTTGGATTTCTTACGTGTGATGCAAGATTCCGGCATGCCAACCCGGAACCTGGGCCTTCTAGCTGGCCTACTAGTATTCCGCGACGGAAGTGTATCCGGATTATAGACACCCGCGGATGATTCTGATTCTGTCGGAAATGTCGCACCTTTCGGTGCCTACCATACATTGTACCGGTTGCAAAAGAAACAGCATTTCAGGTAGCCAGTTACTAGTACTCCAAGACTCCAAGTACAGCTCGTAGTAGTCGAGGCGATTGATACCTACGGTATCTGAAGGCTACGGCAGGCATTGTGCTGGTAGATTGATTTGGTCTGCGGCTTCTTGGGATTGGAGGTGGCGAACAGGTGTGTCTGTGTGGTAACCAATATTGGTTTTGGTGCTCGCTTCAAGCACTCCTTTTCCTTTTACTTGTACATGTACTGGTACGGTTAACAGGTGTGGCCGAGGAATGACAAAGGAGATGCCCTGTAGCTAGTACATGGCTGTAGGGAAGCAACCTGCAGAAGTCTGCTTTGCGAAGACAGCAAGGAGAACGATGGAGATTGATATATTTACAGGGGGACTGCTCGTCACTCGTCACAGCTTCGTCAACCCATTGAAGCCTCGATGGTATGCACAACGAGCTGGCTAGCCACCGACGTTCTTTTCTTCATTTGTTCTCTTCCTTTATGAGCTGTTTTACATCTCGCCCGAGCCCACGTTTACTGTACCTTGCTCGACCCTTTGGCCGAATTTGTAACGATGAGACAGGACCTCAGGGCAGCAGCTAGCCAGCTAGCTAGCGCAACAAAAACCCTTTAGTACAACGCTGGCCATGGCAAATGGCAAAGAATGACTACTAAGGACCGGAAGCAAGATTCTCATCATGTGATCCCAAACGAAGCCATTGCGAGATTCGATTCGCAGTACAGCAAAAATAGATTGATTCGATTCGATTCGATTCCATTGCTTGGAAAGGAGAGTGTGTATCTGCAAAGTTGGTTTCTGTGGGACAGGAGCGGGGTGAAAGGTTGTAGAGTGCCAAGCAGGTGATGTGGCTGGGACCTAACGGTAGCGTACTCGAGCGAGCTGATCCAGGCCAGGGTTTGATCGGGTACCGGTACCCCCAACGGCTATGCTGGGGTCGGGGTATTCGCCTTGTTCTGGAGAGAGTCAAGTCCTTGAGATCGACAATGGTTGCTCTACAAGCTACAAGTAGATGTACCAGTCTACATCCATGTACAGATCCAGTATCACATTCGGACTGCCGGTACGGTGTACTACTAGATGTACTGTACTACTGCTAGAGCTAGAGATCGGGGTGGCTTTATATCTTACTAGTAGAGATAAGGCTAAATGACTGTACTCTTTTCAGTCAGGCATTGAAAAAAGACTGCGATGTCACAACACTAAGTACGGAGGTTACGTACATTCGGTAATAAGTATGAGAGCTAACGTCCGTTTTGAGTGAGCACTGACTCTAGTATAACTATGAATGCGTCGTAAGGTATTTCCTAGTAGCACCCGTATTAACCAAGACAAAGCCATCTTGTCAAGAGCATCTGAAATCTCAAGATCAGGACTTAAGCCCATACCGGTACCAGAGTCACTCATCTTATCAATGTGTGGCGTCAGGATTATGATGCCTGGCACCAAATGGTCACCGCAAAACCAAACACCCCAATTATGCCGCGCGGCATCGGTACGAAATGGCGAACGTAGCTCACAATTTCAAGCAACAACCCTTTTCCTTTTTCTGCATGACGAGTGCAGTATCATCATCAGTGGCAACAGCAAGCAAAAACTCGACGAGCACCATGAAGATTGACGATCGAAAGCAGTTGATTTTGTCGGCTAACCAGCCGACGAACCTTCCCCAAACGCTTATTCGAGAAAGATCCAAGAGGAGCATGGGTGGGCGTAGCAGCAGCGTGGTGATTGTCAGCATTACCGAATCCGACACGAAAACGGCCGATTTGAAGGAAAAAGACAATAAGAGTGGTCTGGAAGAAAAATCTCTTCACGTCAGTAACTATCAACCAAGACAGAAAGTGACGGAGGAAATGGCAGTGGCAGCAGCATTCCACGCCACAGCAAAGCAACAACAAGTCGTTGCCTTTACGAGCAACACCATGGATTGCAGCTCGCGACGTGACGATAATGGACGCACTTCCATGAAAGACCCCAGTGACATGGGCAGCAGTCTCCGCCGATCTGTTTCCTTTGCCAGGGATACCAAGTTGGATGGTAGCGAAAGGCAACAACAACCACAAGGACTCGACGATGAGGGTTCGTCGCACGACTGCTTGGGCTCATCACACAACAGCATGGGCAACGGCAGTGGACGTGTGGCCATGATGAAAGCCAAACTGCGAGAGTCTTTTAGCCGCTCCAGCAGTGCCTTTAATCTCATGGATGAATCCTGGGGAGGAGCCTTGGAAGAACTCGACATGAGTTCGTCCTCGGAAGAATCGGACGATGATGATGACGATGATCCTTTAATAACGGTGATGACAATCTCGGCGAATTGGGCAATAGCGAAAACTTTCGAGCCATGGCACGACGACAATCCACATCCTTCAATATGAGCTTTCGCAATATTGGATTGTACGACAGCAGCCAAAAGGAAGGCGACGACAATATGATGACGGCTTGGACAAGTCGGCCGTCAGCCTGGGAGGATCTTCGCGACGACGAAACACGGGCCGCGGGAGCATTTTTGTCATTGCCGATGAAAAGTTTGGTATGACCAAGGTGGTGCAATCTCGATTGGAAAAGGCTGCCAAAAAGATTCAACGTTTCTTGCGACGATCTCTGTTGGTGCTCCGCAAGTACAATGCCGAGAAAGACTACTCAAGAATGAAGTAAGGACACCGAGGCACGCCGACAGAGGAACTGGCAGATATGAACGTTCTCCAGGACGAGAAGGAACATTCCGCATGCAGCTCGAACAGGAATGGAACGCCAACAAATGGACCCCCGAAGAGTGGGAAGCCTACTTACAAGAAACTGAGGACATGAAGAATGAAATGCTCTCACTCGGGAAGAGAATGCAACTTTTAAGAAAGACAATAAACAGCTGAAGCGCGAAAACAAACAGTTGGCCATTCGGGATCCACAACAAGAGGCTGAAACGGCACGCTTGGAAAAGGAAGTGGCAAGATTGGAAAAGGATGCCGGGGACTGGACGCGCATCAGTGGACATTACACCGAGGGCATCCAACAGGCCGAAGTAAAGATTACCGACTTGACCGAAAAGCGCAAGATCAAGCGCGATGAACGAAAAAAGACAGAAAAGGTCATTGCCAAAATCCTGAAAATGCTCGAAGATCACCCGACGTTGGCCAAGGAGAACCCCAAGTTGATCGAAAAGGTTCGCAAGCTTCAACAGCGCAGAAGAGAAAAAGATGAAGAAACTCAAAGCAAAGACAGTTCTGGAAGAGCAAGAGCGAATCAAAGAAAAGAAAGAACAGACAGAACTCAAATCAGCCGAAGACGAACGAGTCAAGAAGCAACGCAAGGAACGACGCAAATCGAGAAAGCAAAACGACGATCTGCCGGACCTTGAAACGCTCGACTCGAAATCATCCAGTCACGGCGACAGCGCCGAACGACACAAGAAGACGGCAAGGACCCAAAAGTCCAAGAAGAGAGTGCTGACGCTAAAGCCTTGAAACGAAAAAGCTCCAGCAGAGCTGTGATGGACGGCCCCCCTGCTTTAAAGGCTTTGATTGAAGAACCCACAACGGCGGAAAAGGACGACAAGAGCAAGTCCCTGAAACGTGGAAATTCCAGCAGAGCTGTGCTGGAAGGGGCATCTGCGAAACAACACAGTGACAAGAGCAAAGCTCTTAAGCGAAGAAGCTCCAGTAGGGCTGTGATGGAAGGCCCATCCGCTTTGAGGGCTCTGATTGAGGAGCCGACAGAAGCTGAGACTGCAGTCAAGACAACCTCCAAGGCCTTGAAACGGAAAAGTTCAAGTAGGTCTGTGCTGGATGGACCGCCTGCATTGAGGGCTTTGGTGGAGGACCCGGCGGAGGACGCTGATGAGCACGATGAACAAACCAAAGCAGAAAAGCGAAGCTCCAGTAAGTCTGAGCCACGAGAACCATCGTTGATGGCATTGGTGGAGGAGCCCACGGAGGAGGGAGAAGAAGGATGTGACGC